CATATGCCCTTCCCAGTTTTGAACCATGCAGTGTTCCCTTGCTCTGCTCATGCAAAATTTATACCTAGATGAAGAAGTTATTGTGCAAACAGAGCAAGGCAATACTACATTAAAATTAAGAAATCTGTGCACCAGGGTTGTATCCTCTCTCCATACTTATTCAACCTGTATGCTGAGCAAATTATTTGAGAAGCTGGATTCTGTGAACAAGAATATGGCATTAAGATTGGAAGAAAACTCATCAGTAACATATGATATGCAGATGACACCGCCTTGCTTGCTGAAAGTGAGGAGGACTTGAAGAGCTTGCTGCAGAAGATCAAAGAATACAGCCTTTAGTATGGATTGCATCTGAACAGCAAGAAAACTAAAATTTTCACTACTAGGCAAATAGGCAACATCATGGTAAGATGGAGAAGAAGTTGAAACTGTCAACTACTTTATCTTACTTTCATTGACATCAACACCATTGATGCCAACAGTCAGATCAGGAGATGTATTCCACTGAGACATTCTGCAGTCAGGACCTCTCCAAATTGTTGGGGAGCAATGATGTCAGTTTGAGGACTAAGGTGTTACTGATTCAGGCTATAGTCCTTCTGATCACTTGTTATGCATCAGAGAGCTGGACAATGAATAAGGATGACAGAAGGAGAATTGGTACCTTTGAGCTGTGGTGTTGGAGAAGAGCACTGAATATCCTATGGACAGCCAAAAGAATAAACATATTTCTTGGAGATGGTGCAGTGAAGTGCTCCTTGGAGGCAAAGATGATACTTTGGGCATGCTGCTAGAGGACACTTTTCCTTGGAGAGGAACATCATACTTAGAAAGGTGAAGGATCAGAAAAAAGAGAGAAAGATCTTCAACCAGATGGATGACAGTGACTTCTGCAATCGACTCAAGTGCATCAGAGATTATGAGGATAGCACAGGACAGGACAGGGTTCGGATCTGTTGTTCATAGTGTTGCTATGGATTGTACTTGACTGCATCTATCAAGCAACCAACCTGTCTTATCGAACTTTGCTGTTAGGATAAGATGATATCGCATTGTTGTTTTGAGCCAGCAAAAAAACAAGGCCCCAGGAATTGACAGCATACCAATTGATATAGTTCAACAAACAGATGCTACCCTGGATGTGCTCACCAAGTTGTGCCAAGAAATTTGAAGGACAATCACCTGGCCAACTGACTTGAAGAGATTCATATGTGTTTCCATTCCAAAAAGAAGTGATCCACCAGAGTGCAGAAATTATTGAACAATATCATAATATCTCATGAAAGCAAGATCCTGCTGGAAAATTATCCAAAATCAACTGCAACAGAACTGCCAGATGTGCAGGTTGGGTTTAGAAGAGGCACTAGGAATATTCTAGCTAGTGTTGGATGGATCTTGGCTGAGAGCAGAGAGTACCAGAGGAATGTCTGTCTATGTTTCATTGTCTAAGCAAAGGCATTAGACTGTGTCGATCACAACAAATTGTGGCTAATTCTGAGAAGAACGGGAATTCCCAAACACATGATTGTGCTGATGTGAAACTTATACTCGGACCAGGAGGCAGTGGTCAGAACAGAGCAAGGAAACATTGCATGGTTCAAAATCAGAAACCGTGTACATTGGGGATGCGTCCCATCTCCATACCTTTTCAATCTATATGTGGAACAGATCATCCAGGAGACTGGGTTCAAGGAGGAGGAACGTGACATCAGAATTGGAGGAAGATTCAACAATCTGTGTTATGCAGATTATGTAACCTTGCTTATCAAAACCAAGGAGGACCTGAGGCATTGCTGCAGAAGGTCAAGCACTGCAGCCTTGATGCTGATATCAAGAAAACAAAGATTCTCACCACTGGGCCAATTGGCAGCATCATGATAGTGAAGAGACTGAAATTGTTCACAGCTTCAGTTTGCTTGGCTCCACAATCAATACTCTTGGTACCAGCAGCCAGGAAATCAAAAGATGAATTGCACAGGCAAAAATATACTGTCATGGACCTCTTGGAAGAGGAAGGATGTTAGTCTGGAGACTAAGGTGCACCCAGTTTAGGCCATGATCTTTGTAATTACTTGCTATGCATCAGGAAGCTGGACAATGAAGGATGATAGAAGGAGAATTGATGCCTTTGAGTTGTGGTGCCATAGAAGAGCCTTGTGTACACCCTGGACTGCTAGGAGAACAAACAGGTTCATCCTGGAGAGGGTGAAACCAGGCTGTCCCTTGGAGACAAGGATTTTGAAGCTCCATCTGACATAACTTCGGGCATGTTGCAAGGAGGGACCAGTCCTTGGAAAGGGCCATCATGCTTGGAGGGTGGAGGGAGAGCACAGGAGAGGAAGACCCTCGATGAGATAGATGGACTCAGCATGTCAGAGACAATGAGGTTGGCTCAAGATAGAGCAGGGTGCAGAGCTGTTGTTCATAGGGTTACTATGAGCCACAAGTGACTCAACAGCACATAACAACAACAACAATAATGAAAAGCTAATGTTGTTGTTGTTGTCAATCATCGAGTCAGACTTGACCCACAGCTGACCCTCCAGTGGGTTTTCCGCGGCAGTGGACCACACAGGAGACTGCTCATCATTCTCCTGTGGAGCGGCTGGTGGATTTGAACTGTGTGCCTTTGGGATTGCAGTGCATTTTCTTACCACTAGGCCACAAGAGCTCCCTAATGAAAAGATAATTTAAAAATTCTGTTGGCAAAGAATATTGAACATACCCTAAACTACCAAAAGAACAAATCTATCTTGAATGAAGTGTAACCAGACGGCTTTTTAGAGGCCAAAAATGGTGACGCATCTCACATTCTTTGGACATGTTGTCAGGAAGGACCAGTCCTTAGCAAAAGACTTCATGCTGGGAAAGGTGAAGGGTCAGAGAAAGAGAATATGGCCCTCAACAAAATGAGTTGCCACAGTGACAACAATGGGCTTGAGTGTGATGGAGATTGTGAAGATGGTGTGGGATACAGTAAGATTCAGACTGTTTTCCAAAGGGCCACTATGAGCCATTGTCAGCTCTATGGCATCCAGCAACAACAGCCAATGATGTTGAGCATTGCTTTACATTTGTTGACCATGTCTTCCTTAGTGAAGTCTTCGGATGACACCTAAAAACAACATTAATGATTTTTTTTATCAGCCACTTTCAATTGTGCAGTCATCTCTTCTACTCCTGTGGCAATTCTTCTACTCTTGAAGAGGAATGGCATCACAATCATTGTCAGAAAACATTTCTGGATCCATCCTGAAGTACACATCTGTCAGTGAAGAGATAATATTCATATGCCTGCAAGGAATAATCACTTAACATGATTATTATTCAAATTCACACACAATCCACTAAACCTAATATTAAGGACAAAGAAACTGTTGTCTCCTATGCGTTTGAAGTCAGACCGTGGTGAGAAAGGATTGATGTTTTGGAATGGTGATGTTGGCAAACAATGCTGACTATCCCAGGGGCTGCCAAAAGAAGAAACCAATGTGTCCTGAAAGAAGTGCAATCAAAATGCTCCTGACAGTGGAGCGTGGGGATGCTGTTCCTGGAGCACTTTGGACATGTTATAGGAGAGGCCACTCCCAGAAGAACTTGGAACAGTCAGCAAAAATGTGGAAGGCCCTGCACGAGATGGATTCACACATGGCTGTAACAGTGGGCTCAAACAGAGCAGTGATGGCCAGGGTGATACAGGAGCTGGCAGTGTTAAAGTCCATCATATCTCCTGTGCATCAGAACCTTCTCATCACCTAATAATGACAACAGGCTGAACAGGCAGGACCACTGCTGACAGATGAGTGGAGGCGGAAGGAAAGGGGACAGAGCTAAGGTGGTCCCTTGGACAGAACTGTTGTTGATAAACTGCTGGGGGCAGAGGGTGCTGCAACAGGAGTACTGCTAACACTGGGGGTTCCTTTGGGGCAGACCTACTGCTAGCAGGCTACAGGGGACCAAAGGGCTGGGCTACAGCCGATGGATGGAGAGAAGGGGGTGAACTGGCGTGTCCCTAGACCAGGACTACGGCTGACAAAACATGAGGTGTTCCCTATGAAAGGACTACAGCTGACAGAATGTGGGGTTGTCCCCTGGAGCAGGATTAGAGCTGACAATGTGGGGTGTCCTCTATGAAAGTACTACGGCTGACAGAATGTGGGGACATCCCTGGAGCAGGGTCCCTAGAGCAGCTATAGATTTTTCTCCTGCAGGAGGTCACAGAGGTCATCAGCACACACAGGGCCATGATGAAGTTTGTCTTGGAAAATGCTCCGTTGGTCACCCTTAGACTGCAGGGTGGTGCCATCCTGGCAAGGCTGAAGAAGGAGGATCTGGGCACCACTGAGGATGGCCGGTGAGTAAACATGGAGCAGGGCAGGAGGAGCAGAGCTGTGTGGAGACTCCAAGCAGGCCAAGTCCCCTGCACCCTGAGGAGAACTGGGTACCTGGAGTAAGCCTGGCATCCTGCGGCTGGACTGGGACACCAGAGTGGAGACTGGAGCAGGGCGGGGACAGCAAAACTGTGTGGACCCAGGAGCAAGACTGGGTCCCATCCAGTGAGGATGTTAAGGGGAGAGGGTACTATTGGTGCAAAACACTCTGAGGGGTGTGAGGTATGTGTATGGGGTGTGGGGAGCTGGGGGTGCATTGGAAGGTGAGGTGAATAGGGGTGCAGGGAGCCATAGGGGTCACCAGGAAGTGCAGAGGACTGTGAAAGCAGGTGGGGGCCGGGGAGCATGGAGAACTATGGGAGTGGGAACAGGGATTGTGGGTAATGGGGGCATCATGGGATGGGGGAGCTGTTGGGACTGGGAGCTGTGGGAGATACACAAGTGTAGTGCGCGGACGAGGAGCCTTGGGGGGGTGCGAGGAGCATGAGGCAGGGCAGAGACCGTGGGCATCTACAGGAGGTGAGGGGCCACATGGGGATATGGAGTGCTATGGTCAGTGAGTGTTGAGTAGGGTGTGGGAACTGTGGTGGTGGAAAGGCAGGGGACCAGGATTCGCCCAGGGTCTGTGAGGTGCACTGGAGGCTGGGGTTGGAGTCATGGACGGTACTCAGGGAGTCGGCCCTCAGCATCTTAACCAGGGTCATTGCCCCGTGCCCAGACCAGAGCTCATCTGTACTCAAGTCAAAGAGAATGCAAGTCCGAGCTGGCTATGGACCAAGTGCAGCTCTGTGAGTCCATGGCCTGCTTTTTCTCAGGGCCACTGGGAGTCAGCCTTCTCTGGCCTTGCCTGGCACGGCCATGGAGGTCTGCACAAGGTGACATCCTGCTGTGACCTTGTCTGCGGGCTGTTCCCTGTGTGCTGTTTCTTTTAGGCAAGTGTGTCCTCGGCTCGAGACGCTGACACTGCCTGCCCTCTCTTCCAGGGATGCCATCGAGGCCGCAGCCAGGCTGTATGAGCATGTGGACGAGGAGGTGCACAGGCTGGTCCTCTCATCCAATACATGTCTGCAGTGGCTGGAAGGACTGCAGGCCAGGTGGAAAGCTGAGTGGCCAGCCCAGGTCAGCACTGGCTGGGGGTGGGAGGTCCCCATAGATGGTCCCTACAGCATCCCCACAAATGGTCCCATATGGTCCCCACAGCGTCTCCACAGTCTCACACAGGGTCACCATAGATGGTTCCCATAGTCCCCACAGATGGTCCTCACAGATGGCCCCCACTGTGTCCCCACAGACAGTCCTCACAGATGGTCTTCCAGCATCCCCATAGGGTCCCCACAGATGGTCCTCAAGCATTAGTGTTAGGGTTAGAGGGTTAGGGTTCACTCCATCACAACTTCCACCCCATCACAGCTCAAACCTACCTAAGGATCCCAGCTCACACCTGCATCACAGCTCCTAAACCCTCATCATAGCTCTCACCTCCCTAGGGATCACAGCTCACACCTCGTCACAGATCCCATTTCCATCACAGATCCCACCCCACCATAGCTCACACCCCACCATAGCTCACACCTCATCACAGCTCCCACCTCACAGCATAGATCATAACTACATCACAGTTCACACTCCATCACAGCTCCCACTTCTTCACTGTTCCCACCCCATCATAGCTTCCACCTTCCTAGGGATCACAGCTCACACCTCATCACAGCTCCCACCCCATCATAGCTTCCATCTATCACAGCTCCCACCTCTTCATAGCTCACACCTCTTCACAGCTCCCGTCTCCATCACTGCTCCCACCTCATCATCATTCCCACCCCACCAGAGCTCCCACCTCCCATCACAGCTCCCACCTCATCACAGCTCCCACCTCATCACAGCTCCCACCTCATCACAGCTCCCACTTCCCATCACTGCTCCCAATGACATCACAGCTTCTACCCCATCACTGCTCCCACTCTGTCACTGCTTCAGTGTCATCACAGATCCCACACTCCATCACTGCTCCTACAGCCATACAACGCCCACCCCATCACAGCTCCCACCCCATCACAGCTCCCACGCCATCACAGTTTCTACCCTTGCATCACACCTCCCTCTTCCCAGTTTCCTCACCTTCTGGGATCTGTATACAGTCAGGGCTGTGTCTTTATATATATGTGTGTGTGTGTGTGTGTGTGTGTGTGTATGTGTGTGTATAATCTTTTAATTTATTATCAATGCCAATGAAAATTTACAGAGACTTCGGATTTCCATTCATTCACTGTTGCACTTTTCTCCGCTTCCAACCCCCCACCCCCACCCCAGTATACTACCCTCTTGGAAAAGTAAAAGACAAATTCTTTCCTTGTTTTACAATCCCTCCCCCAGGTCCATTCCACTATGCAGCCTTCACTCTGGACTCCTGTCATGACAAAAATACCTAAT